ACCCACACCCAGCTTCTCTCTCTCTCTCTCTTTCTCTCTCTTTGGCAGAGTTTCTCTATGATGCCTAGGCTAGGCTCAAGAAATTCTCCTACATCAGCCACTTGTGTAGCAGCAGGGACTATAGGCATCCTCTGGCTTTCCTTCTTTTGTGTGTGCCAGGCCTGGGGCTTGAACTCAGAGCCTGGGTACTGTCCCTGAGCTTTTGTGCTCAAGGCCAGTGCTCTACCACTTGAGCCACAGCTCCATTGCCAGCTTAGAGATAAGAGTCTCACAGACTCTCTTGCCCATGCTGGCTTTGAACCATGATCCTCAGATCTCAGCCTCCTTAGTAACTAGGATTACAGGCATGAGCCAACAGCACTCGACGATAGCTTTCCATTTTTTAAGTGTTGAAGACCTCTCTTCTTTATACTAATCATAAAGATCTCAGCTGGGGCCCTGAGGTCACCACCTCCCTCCTTTGCCTCAATCAGATCTGAGCACTTATTTCCTTTGCTTCTTTGCCTCAAGTAATGTGTGTGTGTACCTGTCTCACTTCACCTCTGAAGTGAAGTCTCACATCGGATGGGGAGTGTCACCCTTTGTATCATTCTCTGCCAGTTTTCAACACTATACCAATGCCCCCAGGGCACTGAGGTATTTCAGCTTATGATCTATCACTCATATTGCTGGTACACTGATAGTGTAATCCAATTTACGAGAAACAGAAGTAGTACCTTACCGTCCAGGAAAGCTGCCTGCCTCTGAAATGCTTATCATTCAGGATTCTTCACTGTCTCCCAGCTCCTCCTAGGTGACCTTCCTTAAAAGAGACCTTGTCTCCTGAAGATGTTCAGCCTCTCCTCACTCACTAAGCTACTGGGATCTTGGGAATCTCTTTGGAGAGACTTAAAAAAATGCATATGCCATAAAATCATGGTAAGCAGTGCTCATAAAGTATTTCCCATGGTCCATGTGATAGGAGAATATGTTGAAGGATTTTCCTTCATAGACACAAACACTGAGCTTAAAAGTTTAAAGAGGAAAACAATTTTTGTGCTTATAAAGCCAAAATGTGGGAGAAGTTCGGCCATAAAGCATATTCCATAAACTGTGGTGTCCAGAAGAATGTGTGATGCTTATCTAAAACACAGTCAGCCAGCAGGTAGCCAAGGGAGAAGCAGAGGGAGGTGGCTGATGACGTTCCTTGGACTTCAAGTCTTTGACTTGTGGCTCAGTATCCTCATTCTCTGCTATCGCTCAAAGAAACTGTGGCCTGCTTCTGAGGGAGGAAACGAATCAAGACTCCTGGAAGAAAGAAACATTGCTTGGCTTCTCAGAAAGTAGTTCTAGCACTACCATTTTACTAATTAAAAAAAAATACTGTGATCAGTATGGCTTGAGCAGCCAGAGCGGTGCTTGGGACTAAGCCTAGCTGTCTCACAAGGACTGGTGGATCCTAATGTTCAGTAAAAGCAATCAAGAGTCATCAAACCCTCCAAAGGGGGCTGAAAGAGGCCAGAGGCCAACCAATACCCAGAAGCCTTTGCAACTGACCAGGCAAGCATGGTCTCAGGTGAAATTTGTAAGACCACAGGATGACCTATAGCCCCAATTTAACCCTAGGCAACAGGACAAGCCTTACTCACCACCTTCTCCTTCATCGTCACTGCCCACAAAGACTTGTGGGTTAGAACAAAAACAAGGGGAGGGAAGAATTCTGCATGCAATATGTAATTATTCTCCAAAGACACTGAGTCTGGAATCAGAGTATACAAACCAACTCTGAATCTGTTAGCTCTTTTCTGCTGCTAGATGATATGAAAATAAAGTGAACTTCAACTGCCAAAGAAATAAAATATGTGTATTTTTGTAGACAAGACCTCTGTGGTTCTAAACTTGTGACACCTATTTTTGGCTATTTATAGAGCTGCCAGTAATCTCTCACAAAACCACAGCATAGATTTAAAACCACTGTCCCAGATGGACTTCCTAGTGCAGCCCAGTTTTTCTGATCTTCTTACCCAGTTTCCATCCACGAAGTGTCAGCCACTTTCTGACCTACGTCTCTCATGCTCTCCCATCATTACAACTTCTCAGTTTTAATTGGCTCAGCACTCTTTCTTTCTCTAAGCAGTTGTTCATGGACTTCCATGATTCTCTTTCTATTCAGAGTCCTTTGAGTTTCTAAGCCCTTTACCAAGCAACAAGGCACAAGTGAAGTAGAGTTGAGTGCTCTTATGAGCAAGTGTAGCATAGCATAAGAAGACAATCAAGGCTGGGAACCATTTCTTAACCTCCTTTATATAAACAGGAAAAAATGACAGACATGACAGGTCAGGTTTTTACTCTGTTGCAGCTTTAAGCTTGCTCAGTGAAGGCGAAGGACTGAAAGAGGTTTTATGCACCTGGTTTGCATCACACATTAACTCAGAAAGGACATAGTCAGTTCCAAAATCTGATATACCTGGTAACTTCCCAGTACTGCTATACTTAACAGAGCCAGATTGATGGTCTCTCTCTCTGTCTCTCTCATACTGTTTTCTGTTGGATGATTTCCCTAACACATGAAACTTACTGCATCAATAACTGAAGTGTCCATTGACATCAGAAAGGCAGCCCTTCCCAGCTTTCCCCATCTGATCTAGGAAGAGCCCATTGAAACTTCTGGGGCTTAATCACATGTCAGACACAAAATAAGATAATGGCCTTCTTTAAATTCACAATTAGACTGAATCCCCTATTCCTTGTACTTCTAGATAGCCGTACCATTGTTGTCTTTCTAAATTTCTTCATGTGCGTGTGTGAGAGAGAGAGAGATGGGGCTTGATCTCAGGGCTAGCCCCTGTCCCTGAGCTTTTTTGCTCAAGACCAGCAT